AGTCAAGAATGACTCCAAGGTTTCTGACCCAAGCCACCTGGATGAATCAAGGGTGGTGGGTCAAGGGCTATTTCAAAACACAAGATTCTAGAGTATATGTGTATGCTTGGAACTGACTCAGTAAAAGGGACAAAAGGATGCTGCAGGAGAGAGGGGATAACCTGCAGGAACAAAGTTCTTCAGGAGACAAGAGTGGAATCCAAAGCACAAGTGGAGGATTTTGCCTTTAACAGAAAAGAGGCACAATTCTTCCCTGAAATATGAGAAAAGACAGAATCCATGGGTGTGGATTTGAGTAAGGCAATAGATTAGCGGTAAGAAAATAAGGGAGTTCATGACAGTGCTTCTGTTTTCTCAAGTGTGAGGCAAAGTCTTCAGCTGTTTCAGGGTCAAAGGTGTAAAGATTGGAAGAGAGTCAGGAAGGCATTTAGTCATCTTCTCAGAGATTAGAAGAATTAACTTACTAGGTGAATAAAGTAGGCTTGCTAGGCAGTGCCAAGTGACCAGTTGAGATTTGTTGTCGTGAAACTGAAATAAAAGCCGTCAGTAAGATTGTGTGATTTTGTACAGGAAGAGTCAGAGGCTCAGGTGTAGGCGGAGGGTAGGTGGTTGGTTTTGCCAGGAGAAGTTTGACAGATAGCCAAAAAATCTGTGGGGTGGTGGAAGATGTTGTAAGTGAGCAACTGAAATGACAGCCCATAGAATCGATGCTGATAGACAAGTCAAGGAGATGAGATATAACGTGGTTAGCCAAGGCGACTGGGAGCCCAATGTGCACAAGGAATTTTTCTGGGTGGGGTCAGCAGTGAGAGGTCATAAGTGAGCTGCTGTTGTCAGAGCAAAGGATGTTTATACCCAAGTCCCATGGGCCTTGTTATCTTATGAATTCCGTAAAGACAGAGCATACAGTGAGCATTTAGCAAATGCAGTCTTTGAATTCTTGCTCGATATGTGTTTTGTTACCACATCTTTAACAATGTAATAGCATTTGTTGAACGCCCCCAAGTGCCAAACACTAACAAAAATATCCTCCCTTCAAGGATCCCTCCCCTTAATTGAGGAGAAAGATGATAGAATATAAAATCTTTCGTGCTGTAACAGAGGTATGTTCAAAGTGGCAACCCAGAGGACTACAAGGACTAACTGTACAGAAGACTTAAGAAGGGCTTCAAAAAGAAGTGACAGCGATAAGTCAAGGACAGCTAGGAGGTCATCAGATGGGCAGAGGGGAGAGGGAAAGACGCAGTTTCATTACCAGTCTCAACTTCTATCAGAGTTCCTTGGGGTCCAAAGATAGGACACCGCAAAGCAGCAATTAAACGACACAAGTGTTAATCTTCCTTTAAAACAACATAGGCCCTTGCAGGCAAACCTTTCCATTAGAACCCCCCATTTTTGATGGGGTGGGAGTGCCCCAGAGGCCCCAGAACCTACCGCTCAGGGAAGATGGCGGAATCCATGGCGGGAATCTGGTTACTAGAGATGGGGAGATCATCACACCTGCTCTGGGAAGCAACTCAGCTTCATGGAGCTTGCGGTACTCTCGGGAAGCATGCGACCCTTGGTGCTTACGGGGTTCGCGAGGCTTGCGGGGCTCACGGGGTGCATGGGGCTCGTACGGTGCCTGGGGCTTGTGGGGCTGATGGGGTTGGTAGGGCTCATAGGGTTCGTGGGGCTTGGGGATCTCGTTGGACCCTTCAGAGTCCTCGGACTCGTCCCGCTGGTCTTGCTCGTCGGCCTCCTGGGACTCCTCGGGTAAGCCCGGCTCCTCAGACTCCTCAGGCCTGGTGTGCATGTCGAATATCCTGACTACAAAGGGCTTCGGAAGGGCTTCGGAGCGAGCGGGTATTTCTGTCGTGTCACGCCCATCAGACAGCACAGAAGAACCCGAAAACTCTTGGCTCTCCATTGATGCCCAGAAGCTCCTGCGGGCCAACGGCCGGGGTTTGTTCGCTTT